AATTTGATCTCTCTCCTGTCTCTATGACAAGAGAGAGAGATGCAGAGCAGGCCAGGTCTGTTATGATTTGGTTGACCTCGTCTGCCCTTTAGAGTGTGGGAAAGAAAACACTTCAGATTTACTGGTGTGCTAACATGAGCTTGCCTCGCCCAGACCTCGCTTACTCCCTGCCATGTATAATATCAGCAGTTGAATAACTTGGTGGAGTATTTGGTATTACTGTATACATTTGGGTGAATATTTATATAATACAAATGATGCTGTTACACCGCTCGGCCACATCCAACCGAGACCTCATGGCTTAAATCCTAGGTGTACCTAACCTTGTTACAAAAAAGTGTGCTTTAGCTAAACTTTTTCTTCTTGCACATGCTTTTGCAATTCCTCCCGAATAGTTTTCATTGAAACCATTGTGTATCTAAAAGAAATCTTTCTGTAACAAATTATCATAACAATCAAGGAACTGATAAATATGTTGTTAGGTACAAGTAAACCAGGTAGCACTATACCGGAAGATAAATACAAAGGAAGAGAATCCTGTAAATCAGGAAACTATGTTTTATTAATGTAGGATAGGAGTTTAAGTTTATCAGATACAATATGAAGACTACTGATACTTATATTTAGGGAAATGCATGATGATTGCGAGTAGGCAAGGTTGTGATTGCATTACTACTAATTTCACAATTGTCTGGTTCTATAGGATAACATTCTACTACTAAATGTTTGCCTACATCCTGACACATATGTATCACATTGGTTTGATTCGGGTAATAGAAATATTGCACATTATTGACATGTGCGTGAAACACTAACCAATGTGGTATTGGAGTGTATGTAGAAGGTTATTGGAGGCCATTCTTTGATTTTACAAGAGACAACCCCCTGCACAGTGGAGTGACTGCACGATCACAGCCGTCACTATGGAATCGGCCTGTTTGTCCCCAACCCCCAATGAACACACACAATCCCACTCAGCTGTGAGGTGTCCGCCACTGGAGGGGCTCTAGCACGAATACTTAAATAAAGCAGGTGCCTCGGCCAGGGCAAGCAAGGAAGGATTTTAGTTAGAGAGAAAGACCTCAAACCACGTCAGTACTGCCAATCAATAGCCGCCTTCCAGCGGGGGTGTGGGTCACTCACTGTCCGGGGAGGACTAGCTAGGGTTGACACTCTTGAACGCTCGTGAGGTAGTCCGGTGACGTTCGTGGTCGTTATCCAAAGGTGGAGATCCACAAAGGGCGTTGTCCCAAACGGGATTCCTGGGACGTCCAGTGATAATCAGAGAGGTCGAGATGTGGTCCTGTCGTCAACAGTAGAAACAAGGTTGACTGGCTGGCTTTGGCGGTGAGGGGTCTGGAGAGAGAGGTCCGATCACGGCGAAGGCTGAGGGCTCTCTTTTGACTTGACTTGACGTCTGTAGATAAGGTGAGGGCTATTGCTTGTAATACTGAATGGGAAGGCAGGGATTAGGATTGGAAGTACTTTGGTGGTAATTTGGGGAGGGAAGGGACTGGTGTAGGATCAAGGTAAAAGAGGGAGGAAAATTGAAGGAAAGGAAGAGATTACATGGCTGCTTCCTCTGTTTTATACCCAAGGGTTACATAGTCGTAATTTTTACGGACATATTTATCGATCTCGGTTACGGTATACATTGGCTTATGTAAATTAGTATTATGGGTTTATATAACTTCTGAAGGCTAATGCTAATATTCTAATCAGTATTTAAACTTGAAATGCATAAATTAAATTGGTCAGCGTTCAAGACGTATGGAATGAATTACCCATGGCTGTGAGACTTCATGAGTGGAGACTTTAACGGATTCTGATCAATCATTAATGAGTTTCTTTAATACAAAAATGACCATCACTTTGTTATATGGCACCGAATATGTATTGAATATAGAATTACCTTTCCTGTTCAGAGGTTACCCTGCTTGTTCAGTCGGTAGGGCTTAATTTTATTTTATTTTGTTCCTGTATGTAATAATTGTTTAATACTACATATATTGATTAAGTAAATCAGCCTATGTCGTGTATTAGTTAGGTAAAATATATATTAGTAAGGTAAAATAGTTTGATATTTGGTTACATAGTATCAGCACTGTGTGGGTCACTGGTCCACCCGCTCCCCAAGTGAGTGAGGAAAAGCAGGCGAGCTTGGCTGGCGAAAGAGTACGCTCCTGGTATCCTGGTACAGTTCGTTTGGACTCAGGATATATATATTTATGGAGATAAGTGGCTTATTCTTTTGTACAGTTCAAGTGTAATTTAGGCTGTGGTTGTTTGTGTTTGAATTGTTCTTTTACTTGTATTTGTAAATACGTTCCTAATTTTATTATAATACGAAATTATGCAGTGTATGATTCCTCCTCAATATGAGTTAATCCGAGGCTTATTAAGACCCTGGTGGATATAATATTCGAGTCATTATAGTGTTTACCCTGCTTGTTGCTGTGACCACTAATGACAGGGGTTTGTTTCTTAATGCTTTCACAATCAATCGTCACCTCTTATTTGACTAGTGACAAATTCCTGATTAAGAGGAGTGATGGCATAACAACTTCAATACAGTCATCAGATTCACTGGTGGTTGCAAATCAAAAACATATAACTTCAATTTTGAATGCATATCTCATAATTTCACGACAGGTAAAACAGTTATTATAGATTTGGCTGGGCATTCACATATATCACCTGAATTCAATTTTCATTACACTTAAATATAGTTGAAGCTTTCAACATATACACTCTGAATCTTGAATGCTAGATTACATCACTTACTGCTGCTCATACATGTTATATCATAAGTTTAAATTTACAATACAGGGAAAGATTACTAACTAGTCTTAAACATGTTTTATAGACGACGGAGCATAACATGAGCGTGTGGGTGTTAATATCCAGCGACGCGGCAGTCCACTGAGTCACCTGATTTACTAGTGAAGAGGGAAGATAGAGCAGTAGGTTCAGTGATGGTCTAAGATCGTGAGGTTTATTTATGTGATCGTGATAATACAATTACACACGCACACAAAAACACAAACAAGCACGACAAATGCATATGATACTGGTTGCCCTTCGTGTTCAAGGCCATCCGGTACTTGGGCCACCAGGACGGCACTGGCTAATTATCACCTCGGAAAACCAGCCCCAGGTCTTGCCGGCGGTACACGGAATGCCAAATCCACCGAACATTGCCCGTTAAAGTACCTGTAAAAGAGAGAGAGTGAAGCAACATTGCGAGGAAGAGAAAGGGAAGAGGGATTATCAACTAAAGGAGGAGAGTTAATAAGACGAAATGCCTTTGATTCCACCCCAGATATGAGAGCAGTACTCCAAGTTCGGACGAATGAATCCTTTATAAACTTGAAGCAAATGCTCAGGAGTGAAACCGCTACGGCATTTCTATAGCATTCCCAGGTTTCGGGAGGCAGCTTTAGCAATGTTGTGGATGTGTGGCTTCCATGACATATTAGAGGAAATGGTGAGGCCCAGTTCATCTATTTTAGAATTTGGCAGAATGATTGCGTCCTGAAGTGTGATTGGTGGGAGATCATCTAATTTGGAAAGTGTAATTGGTAAATACTGTGTTTTATTACTATTGAATTTAACCAAGTTTCTACCTCCCCATTCGGAGATGCTGCACAGATTCACATTGATTGACGAAGTTATATCGGCTCTAAAAACAGATCTAGTTTGAGAGTTCGGGGGAAGGGAAAAATGTGAAGAAGAGTGAAGAGTTGAATCATCAGCGAAATAATGGATATAATTAATCGTAGTGTGAAGTAAATCATTGATAAAAAGAAGGAAGAGTAGGTGAAAGAAAGAACTCTGCGGGGCACCATTATTGGTAGAGAAAGTGCGAGAGATCGAGCCCTCGACAACAACTGCAGCACACATTGATTTCATTCTCAACACAACTTTCACCCATTTCGCCTTTCATATAATTATGTTTTCATCATAGTAAGCAGGGCTGTGGAGTCGGAGTCGAGGAGTCGGAGGAAATTTCGGCTTGTGGAGTCGGAGTCGGAGTCGGTAAAATTGTCCAGACTCCGACTCCGACTCCGACTGAAGCTATTCTGTTCCTAAGAACAAATATATGAACTCAGGCATATTCATTGTAGTGATTCCACTGATCCCACTAATTTTCTTAAATTATTAAAAGAATTTATTTCCATTTTATAAGCATTATTATGAATTTATTGTAGCAGGCACAGTATAGCACTATAATTTTGGACGATAGTCTCTTCTTTACCATTTGAAATTTTGAATTATATCAAATTTTGTTTCGTTGAAAACTGCACAGAGGCTCTCAGCTACAAAACCATTAGCTACAACCTGTTTTTGGTGAGATTAAGGCAAATTTAATTTAATAACTTAATCATGTAAGGTTTATCCATTTTCCTTAATAAGGTATTCATTTCTTTAATGTACATAAATATATAACTTTAGTTTAAAAGGAATTGTAGGATCATCATTTAGATCCACATCAGATTATGAGCTTAAACAAAATTCATATGCTGAGATCGAACTTTTAGATATACATGTAAATGGTGTTTTCTAGTTAATATCTTGAATTCTTAATAAATTTATTTTTCTTTTGATTGAAACTTTGAAAGTCAAGCCTATCATCTTTTTGTAGTTCTTAAATATCGTCCAGATCATTAATATAGCTGTAGCAGTATAGCGACGGTGTTTTACTTTTTACCTATGCAGGTTACAACATACAAATTACAATTAGGATGGTAGAAATAGTTGTTACAAATATGCCAAGGAGTCGGAGTCGGAGTCGGAGTCGGAAGCATAAAAATTTGAGGAGTCGGAGTCGGAGTCGAAGGTTTTGTCTTCGACTCCACAGCCCTGATAGTAAGTCACAAAAACCTATTTTGTATGAATTTAGCGTATAGGGTTAGTGAAATCCACTAAAACTTCATTTCGTACACTAGTATTATTCGTTGTAAGTTTTTCAATGTATGACACAGTTTTATGTGTTGCAGGCAGGCGATCGGGAGATTTTGATAGTGATGCGCATCTCTGTGGTGGTCGTTGCTTGTATCGCTGCCATTATCGCCATCAGGGGAAACTCCATCTACGAACTTTTGTAAGTGGTCGCTCTGTTATACTGTAATTCCCCATCTACAACACTGTCACTCCGTCCATAAATCTACCACTGTTCCCAGATATTAGCACAACTCCCTGACACTCAGTTAGCTCTTCCCATAATTTCTGTTTCCACCCTGACGCTTTAGCACTCCCATCTGAGACTCTGGCACTCTTCACTGACACTGACAAACTTATCTTACCTTCGGCACCTCTCCCCAACACAAGCATTCCTTTCTGATACACACCTACTTTACAATCTTACATTTTTCGCCGACAGTAGCATTACTCCTCAACACTCACATCCCTAATTAACATTCTAGAACCTCTCCTTTTCACCCTTTCAACCCTTTGATATTCTGATACGCCTCGCTTATGTACTGATACTTACTATTAATACTCTAGTATCCCTTCCTCGTACTACAATGCCATCCTGAATCTCAAACACCTCTCCCTAACTCCATGACACCCCTCTTTAGCAATGGCATACCAATCTAACATCCTGATGCTCTTTCTCGAGACTCGCATCCATTCTTGATATTGGCGCCCTTCCCAGACACGATTGCCCCTCTCTAACATTGGCGATCCTCCCCTGCGCTGACATCTTTCCCAAACTTTGGCACCTTTCTCCAAAGATTTTAGTCATATACCCAGAAAAAAAGGCACCTTTCCCTAAACTGAAGACCCTGTTCAGTCCTTACGTCCCTCCCAAAAGCTAACGCATTTTGGAGACATTTTGCAGTATCTCCGAAACTGGCATCACTCCCCTTGCATCCTTTCCGTACAGCAGCGTCATGCGACAATACTGGCCCTGGCCCTCATCCTTGACATTAGAACTCTTCCCAAACAGTGGTACTCCCCTATGTTACTGACACTTCTTCCCGACACAGGTGCTCCTCATCAACACTAGCATACATTCTCCATATTGGTGTCACATCCAAACATTTTCAACAATGGTGCCCCTCATCATGCCGCCACATATCCCAAACATTGATATTCCATATCGTCCTCCTTCCTGACGCTAGCAACCATCCTCGATACTGGCACACGCAACTGACAATTGGCACGTCTCCTAAACACGGGCATTACTTTTATTCTCCAATAGTGTTGTGATGAGGTGGTGGTGGTTTCGGGGAGCCCATTTCCCGACGTTGAGGTGCTGACAACGTAATCCGAAACTGGTAGCCCTCCCAAACACTGGTACCATCCGCACATTTACACCCATTCATATCATTGGCACATATCCCCGACATCGGTAACCCCCTTACACTGGTACCCCCCTGACACTGCTACCCCTCCCAAAATTAGGTAACCCTACCCGACACTGGTACTACCTCTCCGACACTGGTACCCCTCCCTGACACTGGCATCCATCCCCGACACTGGTATCCCATTGACACAAGTACCCCTCCCCGACACTGGTACCACCTCTCCGACACTGGTACCCCTCCCTGACACTGGCATCCATCCCCGACACTGGTATCCCATTGACACTGGTACCCCTCCCTGCCACAAGTACCCCTCTCTGACATTGGTACCGCTCCCCGACATTGGTACCCCCTGACACTGGTACCCCTCACAGACACTGGTATCCCCTGACTCTGGTTTCCTTGAACTGATCCTTTAATCGTTGATTCTACGATTATTTAATAGAATTAGAACATGTAATAGTACATTGAAACTTCTGTAGGGAAATCCAATATGTTCCTTTGCTTGTATTTATTATAAAATGTTTCTATGTACACTTTCAAAAAGGATTATCACCGTAACTTAATCACTGTAGCTATGAGTGTTAAATGAGGCCGGAGGCTATGTTAAATAGCTCTGCTAAGTATGTCATGTTGATGAGCGGTGAGTGAGAATGAGTATTTGATTTTCTGTTTTGCCGCTACAGCGGCTACTTTATTTTGCACCCCACACTCATCCTGTGAGCGGTAGCGCAAAAGGATTACAGAGTAGAGTTTACAAAGGGTCATAATAATTAACCCCCTTTGTCAGGATATTATAGCACTGAATGTTACACAGTATTTCATTTAGATTATTTGTTTAGTTCTATACATAAAGGGTAACTGATTCACAAATGAGTGAACACAGGCGTGTGAGGCAGTATGTCTGGCCTCACACTTTGTTATTCACATTTATGTGAGAGGTATTCAAGCACATTGCGTATTTGGTTCTGTACATGAGAACTGATATAGTTACTAAGTGCAAAAAAGTGGATACAATCTTAATATGTCAGCTATCTTGCCATTAGAGATGAAGTGTTGTGCCATTTCACACAGAGTGTGCTTGGACCTGTCCCTAAAAGGTTCTATCTTCACACAGTCGAGGACGTAGTGTTCAAGTGTGTGGCCGTATGTATGGCCACACACTTTACATTTAGTTTTGTTTACATCTGCTTGAGGAACATACTGCCAAAGGTACTTATATCCTAACCTTAATCTAGCGGTTACAACATCTTGTAATCTAGTGATCTTGTTACTTGCTCCATATACAGTACATGTTTCACTTGATACATCTCATCATGGTAACCTATGGATCGACTAGTGCCTTTTTGCACCAGTCTACTTGCGTCACATCAATAAGTTCTTTCCTAATTACAGTTTTAAGGGTTCTTTTTGACAGACCCAAATTGTATTCAACGGTGTCTTTGTTAGACGCGAGTTGGCGAGGGCATCAACTCTGTCATGTTTTATGAGGCCTATGTGAGAGGGGATCCACAACAGTTTGACCTCGACACCCCGGTCAACAAGGCACGCATATTTGTGTCTGGCTTCAGAGACAAGAGCGTGACAACCTGAGTCGAGGGTGCCAAGGACAAGTAGTGAGGATAGAGAGTCAGTGATGATGAGACTGTCAGTAACAGTGGTTTCAATGAATTTAATAGCTGTGAGTATGGCAACTAATTCAGTTTGTGGAGTGGATGCCCAGTTGTTAATTCTAACTCCTTTCTCAATTATATTACCGTCAGGTTGAGTCACAACAACAGCACTTCCAACCCTGCCACAGGCGGTGTTAAGAGATCCATCAGTGTAGATGGTCTGTGTGATATTATCATCAGTCTGTAGAGTGTGTATGTGTTCAAGAGCTCTCAATTTGGCAGTGTGTTGGAGATAAATGCTTTGTATAATTAATTTTTTAGGCGGATACGTCGGTATTGTGATATCGAAGGGAACTGTCCGCCAGGGTGGCAGGAAGCGCTGTTGTGTCTCAACTTTGTACAGGTGGTCTAGTCCAAGCATCTTCATATGTGTAGCTGTAGTTTGGATCCATTTAGACTCAGTAGTCCCATGGTTCATACATTCTAGCAATTTTAAGGTCGAGGGAGTGCAGAAATATATCCGACGTCCTCCCTCGAAGGAAGACGGAACCATCCACGATGGATCTCAATAACGTCTTCGTCTAGTCTGGTTATCAAACTACTGCCCGCAATAGGAGGCCAGAGAGCCGGTTACTTAATGCTTAACTCAGCACTAACTGACGCGACTTCCCGTGGGCACACCTTATCACGTGCTCTGAACATGCTATCTCATAGCTAGTGGAAAGTTACAGAGGATGATAGAGTATATGAGTCTAATGTAATTAACCCATTTATATAAATACTTCTGCCTACAAGACAGGGACTGATACACCATTCCACAACACTGGTAACCTTCTCTCACACTGGTACCCCTCCCCGACACCGGTACCCCATTGACACTGGTACCCCTCCACAACGTCGGTACCCCTCCCCGACACTGGTACCCCTCCACAACGTCGGTACCCCTCCCCGATAATGGAACCCTTTCTCGACAATGGTTCCCACCTCAACATTGACACCCCTCGCTGACACTGGTACCCCTCCCCAACATTGGTATCCCTTCCCCACACTGGTACCCCCCCACAGACACTGGTACCCCTCCCCGAAACTGGCGCTCCTCCTCGACATTGGTACCCTTCCCCGACATTGGTACCCCTCCCCGACACTGGTTTCCCACCTCAACATTGACACCCCTCGCTGACACTGGTACCCCTCCTAGACATTGGTACTCTTCCCTGTCTCTGGTACCTCTTCCCGACACTAGTACTTCTCCCAGACACTGGTACCCCTCTCCGACATTGGTACCCCTCGCCGACATTGGTACCCCTCGCCGATATTGGCACCCCTCCCCGACATTGATACTCCTCCCTATCATTGGTACCCCTACTCGACACTGGTATCCCTCCCCGACACTAGTACCCCTCCGCGATACAGGTACCTCTACCAAACACTGGTGCCCGTTCGTTGACACTGGTATCCCTCACAGACTCTGGTACTCCTCCTCAACACAGGGTACCCTTCCGTTACTCAAGTATCCCTCCCCAAAACTGGTACCCTTCCGTTACTCTGGTACCCCTCCCCAACCCTGGTATCTCTCCCTAACACTGGTACCCCTCCTAGACTCTGGTACCTATCCCAGACACTGGTACCCCTCCCTGACACTGTTACACCTCCCCGACACTGGTACCCATCCCCGACACTGGTTTCCATCCCCGAGAATGGTATTCCTCCCTGACACTGGTACCCCTCCCTGACACTGATACCCCCCCTGACCCTGGTACCCCTCTGATACCGGTACCCCTCCCCGCCATTGGTAACCTTCCCTTAGTCTGGTACCCCCCTGACACTAGTACCCCTCCCAGACACCAGTACCCTTCACAGACTCTGGATCCTCTTCCCGACACTAGTATTCCTTCCTGGCACTGGGACCCCTTCCTGACACTGGTATCCCTCCTAGATTCTGATACCCCTTCCTGACACTGGTACCCTCCTAGATTCTGATACCCCATCCTGACACTGGTACCAGTCCCTGATACTGGTACCCAACTCTGACACTGATACCTCTCCCAGACACTGGTACCCCTCCCTGACACTGGTACCAACTCCCTGACACTGGTACCCCTCTCTGACACTGGTACCTCTCCCTGACACAGGTACACCTACTCAACATTGACACCCCTTGCTGACACTGGAACCCCTCC